AGGTTTTGGCCTTCTTTCACGAGGGTGGTCGACAACATCAAAATCACCATTTTTGAAGCTACAAAAGCCCTCACGGCATGACGTTTCACTCAGAGCAACATTTCCGTAGCTTTCGATGCACTTGAGCCGTTTTTTTTTGAATGGAAGACGAAAATCAACACCTCCCGCAAATGAAACTTCTCCTTAACTACGTCGCTTTTTAGACACTAAGCCAATATTTTGGTTTTTCTATGTTTGATATATTTTTATTATTAGAATACTAACAATTTATTGCTAATTTGATAGAGCATCGTTGACGACGATGTTGAGGATGATTATTTTCTCTTACAAACAAGTTTCTCCGTGTATATTTTCAAGTAAAATTTGCTATTGGTTGATATCAAGCTGTCCGAAGTCGGTTTAAACTGGATCCTCGTGGTTGCAATTCATATGTACTAACAATTATTTATATTTTCAGTAAATTTGATTCAAAGTATTTTTATGATGCATATTTCTTCAAGTCACAGTAGTTACAATTCTGTTCTAATCTCGTTACTTTTAATAATACTTTCCATTGTCTTCAAACGCAATTTCTCACGTCCTAATCAAAGTGAAATTGAATTCCTCTATGTCATGGGAATGTTTTTCTTTCAAACTATAAAACAAAGAAATTAGAAATTGGCTCCGATTAATTTAATATAACAAGCGCTTTTGAGATAACGGAATTTATATTACTACTCAGCTATGCAGATGAATAGTGTCGAAAATTATATTTCTTTTGTTCTTAACTTATGCTTTGAAACCGAAAATATGCATGTAATTAACCTGATACCATGCAATATATAGTTATATATATACTAATATATATTTTCACTAATTTTTTTACACTAGAAGAATAGAGTATGTTTCCAAGTGAAAATAGACCTTTTTGAAATTATTGCAATAAGCTTAAGAATATCAGAAAGACAAAATCTGGATTGACTTCTTATGTGAAGTATGTATATCAAATTAGATAGGAATTCAAATGCCATCAATTAGATAGAACTATTTGGTTTTTCTTCTAAAATTACACCTATTGTTATATGGCATCGTGCCTTAAGTCAAATTGCTGGAACTTTCTGCAGCGTAACGAAATGTTCGAGGATTATTAATGTTTTAAAATAGATTATTATAAATACTGTAGCGTTGTCTAATATTTATTCATAAAAATTATATAAACTGAACTATAATTGAAGTTAAAATTATTTATTTAAAGTATGTAAGTAAGCTTTAGAACTTCAGCCAGAATTAAAATAAAATTGAAAATATTTTCGATACACAAAAAAAAGTTTTTTGAAAAAAAATTTCAAACAAGGTTTATTTCCAAAAGCAATTATTTCATCAGAACAAGCAAAAAGTTTTCTCAAAAACTGCCATTTTTTATAGATTTAGCTCTGTATCTTTGAAATGGACCTGCGTTTGCCAAAAACTAATCATCTCTTCTACCAATAATTACAAATTGAATGTTCTTTAGATCATTCAAATTGGATACTCCGTTCTCTCAAAAACTCGATTTGTATTTTCTGCACCCTTTGCTCCGTATCTCCGTAATGGCTGGACCTGTCTTTGCCAAAAACTAATCAGTACATCTCCCTATCAATAGGAATCGAATGTTTTTTTAACCATTCAAATCGGTTGATCCGTGCGCCCGAAAACGTGGACGAAAATTTTTTCTGAGGTATGCCAAAATGTTCAAAAACCTTCAAAACGTGAAGATTTTCATTTGCGATTTTCAAAAAGTTAAAAATTTTCAGATTAAATCAAAGTTTAAAAGAAAATTCAAAATATGAAAAAAAATTATTTTTCAAAAATCAAATTTTTTTTAAAGTTTTCAAAAAAATTCAAACGTTTTTTAAAAATCTTAATTTTCGGTACGGAAAGTTCCAGCAATTTGTCTTAAGGCACGATGCCATGCAACACTAGTTTTCGTTTTGTTTTGTACCAATTACGGTTGACGATTTGACGATCACACTTAAATAGTAAA